AATCTTTATTGCCCTGCTTACAGAACTGCCTCTCCGGTTAACCCTTACTACATTGTAACAGCTAAGGTGAAGCACCCATCAACATGAGTGACGTTGAGTTGGCCACGCCCACCCAGTCATATGACCACCAAGCCCCACCTACCCGGCTGGTCACTAGGGCAGGGAACCAGTTGTTAAATTATTTGAATCCCACCACTGGATTCAAGCATCTTAAATCTGCTGTGTAGAAGACCCTGTAAGCAAAAGAAATGTCTTTCTGTGGCGTCCAGACATTTTCAGACTGTCATGTTGCTCCCTGAATCCCCCACAAGGGCATCTTAGCCAATCTATAGCCTTGGCGACAAAATCTGCCCATGAAACATTGTCATCATAAGGTAGATAGGCTAATCAAAGCAAGACTCAATAGCCCTCAAAGATCCTCTAGCTAATTAAGGAGGAATCAAGAAAGCCTTCAAAGTAATCCATTCATCTAGAGTTACGTCCCAAGAATCAAAAAAGAATTGACTCCTCTGAGTATGGAACCTGTAACCCCAGTTTTTTTTAAAATCAACATTATAACCAAGCATGTCTGGGTAAGAGAACCAAGAATTTGGAAGACAAGCATAATTTTCCAAACAAACATTTCCAGAAATATCTTTATTGAATTACTATTGCCTACATTCTGGATGAATGAATGATCTGGGCTTCCTTGGGCAATTGGTTAGCCAAGAAGAGATTACTGGACTAGATGGGCCAGAGGTCCGATCAGAAGGGCACTTCCAATGTTGTGAGCTGTCAGAAAGTGGATACGTCCTGTAGCTGAGCTGCTACAAAAGGATGCAGCTGTTAACAAGTTGCATTCACTGTCAGCAAATGTTATTCTTGACATATATAAGGATTCAACTAGGGAGACAATCTATGTGTATATGTTGTTTTTATGAACCTTTTAATGTCTTGTTTAGTTTTGCTTTATTCTTGCGTTTTTTTACTTTGAGTTTGTATTTTAATTTTGTGAATAAAAATGGAAAAATACTGAAGGATAAAGGACCAATTGTCAACAAATTGCATTCACTGTCAGCAAATGTTGCCGCATTCTTAAAGAAAAGACAATTCAGATAATGTTTTCCATGTACTGATATCCAACTGAGTTATAAACAGAAAGGTTCAACTTTATTTTTCCATATCTTTGCTTTTATCATAGTTTCAATTCAAAGTATAATTGTTTACATACAATTTATTAATATATTTATCAGTATTCAACTGGGAGGATAATAGGTGTAGGTGAGTTAGTGCAGTTTTTTAATGTCTTGTTTGTTTAATGGGTTTTTTGTTTTTTAATTCTTGGTGTTTTTCATTTTAACTTTTTAAAAATAAAATAAGAAATAGAAAATGATTATCAGTTGTAAATTGGGGACTTCTTTATTCAAGAGATTTTATAGGCACATTTTATAGATCCCATTTATCCTTAAAGTCAGATGAGAAAATATAATGCCTTGTTGATTAAAAATAATGCAGAGATTTGCTAGTATTTTAATAAATCCAAGGAATATGCTTATCTTGCAGCACAGAATTTAGTACCATATTCTACTTTTTATTCTAATACACAGTTATGTTATTTTCCTGTACTTTATGCTGTACTTCATGCTCCCAAATCTAGCGTCATCCTGATGTGTTGGTGACTCTGGTTTCTGGTGGTTGCTATTATAACCAGGTTGAAGCATGATTTTGTCTTGGTAACCAAACATGTATATTAATAACAGGATACGATAAAATGTTTTGTACTTTATTTTTAGGGATTTTCATCATGATGTCCATGTGCAGTGAAGTCCATGTGTACGAATATATTCCATCCATCCGACAAACTGATCTTTGCCACTATCATGAACACTATCATGATGCAGCTTGTACCTTGGGGGCTTATCACCCTCTGCTTTATGAGAAACTGCTGGTGCAGAGGATGAACACAGGACTCAAGGAGGATTTATATCGGAAAGGAAAAGTGATTTTGCCAGGATTTCGGTCAGCGAGATGCCGACAACGATTCTGGTTCCCATAAGAATAATATCTTTCTCAAACAATGTGCAATAAGATGCTATAGTCATACTGATAAATAGCAGAAATACTTGAAAAATGGATCCTAGACTAACCAGTCTTTAGTCTACAGTGTGTAGTTAAGTAGCAGGCATGATGGAAATTCTTGTTTCTAGGGCCTCTTATTATTTCTTTGTAAGGTGTTTTTTTTTAAAGATGTAGCTTTTTGAGAAATGCAAAATATAGTGAAAATAAACTTGGGTATTTATATGTGGTTTGCCAGAAAACATCAACATTTTTACTTACATGTGGCAGATTAAAGCCTTTTAGAAGAAGCATTTTGTTAGTTTAGTGTAATCCAATAAAACAGTTCTTAGAACAAAATAAAAATGGAATCATAGCAAACAGTTCTAACCTAGGATTTCTATCCTTTCCCTATTCTAAAAAAAATTAAAACAAGAACAATAAAAAGAACAAAAACTGGATGTGTATTTAATACAATTGGCCATATTCTTTTCATTCAATTTTTTGTCTAGTGCTAGAACATGGCATCCCTGTCTTATAAATATTTTATGCTAGTCTATTTTAAAATTAAAGACTATTTGATTAAATATATATAGATAGATTTATAGATATATAGGAAAGAGTGACAAAAGAGAAACTACCTATTATTTCAGAAAACAATTTATTATTTTGACCTGATGCATTAGCCAAAAAACACTCTAAAAATTCACAGGGGGAAAAAAGATCCTGCACAGTGGAAAAGATCATGGTTTGTATGCAGGAGATTCCAAGTTAAATTCCAGCATCTCCAGCTAAGGCTAGGGGGGGGAGGGGGGGGAATCTAACTATTGCCAATAAGTATTGGATTAGATCAGGGGTGTCAAACTCCTGGCCGTTGGACTGGATGCATCTTGCACTGACCATGTCCACCCCCGTTTTAGCAAAGGGGAGGGAATCACAATACGACAATGTGACAACGTGAGTTTCACACCCCTGGATTAGATGGATCAGTGATCTATGAAGCAGGTTGTTTTCTGCAAAGCAGCTTATACTGATTGAGGAATATTAAAGTGTTACTTTTGCCTTTGACAATTGGTCCAGGTTCTGAGCAGGCAAAATAGATATAGAAATTGATATTGATATGGATCATTGAAAAATGTTTATTAGAACAAACTACATCTAATCAATTGTCCATTTTTATTCCAAAAACAGACAAGGTGATGCCTCAGGGAAGTTCAGATGTAGAGCTTAAAGCTTATAGACCCCCTATGGAGACAGAGACTTCCTCTGAATCCAATATTTGGGCATTAGCTAACCATTGTCTTAAATATGAAGATCTGTTGAGCTGCCTTGCCTAATTGCAAGTGAGTATTTGGCATTACCAAAAATATTTACTTTGTACCCTGACTAAAATTGGAACGTTTTAAAAATTAGTTTGGGTCAAGATGAAAAAGGTTGGTGTTTAAGAACCACACAGGAAACACTATTGTTTACTAAAATGGCCATGCATAGCCTTTAGGAGGCTTCCAGAGTGCTTCTGGGGGCTCGGGAGGGCAAAAATGAGCAAAAAATGGGCCGTATTTTTGTTTGTTTTTGCCTCATCCCAGCCCACAGGAGCACTCTATAAGCCTCCTAAAGGCTATGCATGCCCTTTTTTTGACGAAAAATGGGCCGTTTTTGGGACATCTGCAGAATGCAAAACCTTTTTTAAAAAAATTTGCCCTTCAAAATCTTGGTGCATCTTATACTCTGGTGCGTCCTATATGCCGAAAAATATGGTAACTAAAATAATGTGCCTAGCACATATTTTTATGACATGCGCTGAATCATAAGCAGGCCTGATGGAAAAAAAATGGCCAATTGTACATTCTGTTCTTTAATAAACATGCTCTTTTTAATAATGTGCATTCAGCTGAATTTGTGCACCTGCTGCTTTTTACCAATAAGCAGCCAAAGCAGGCTTTATTTTTTTTTAAGTATCATTTGATATATGGCAGTATACTTTGAGCAGTCACTTTAACCAAGTGTCATGTGATATTCCTAAAAGGATTTTTATTCAGTATATAGTGCCAAATGGTCTTTTTCCACGTATTGCTTGTTTTCCAAATATGGACTAGCATAAACTTATGGATGCCATGATCTTCCTTTTGAACTAAACTTGATTTCTTATGTCACTATTTAAAATATTCCAATGCAACCACTTCTTCCATTTAAGTTGTGGTTGTTTATTCTATCAATTACAATAGCCTTAGGCTGTGAAGTTTAGAAATATATATACCGGTATACTGTATATTCTTGACTCTTCTTCTGAGATTATTGGTTTTACAAGAGAAGAGCTCCTGTGTATTTTATTCCTATGTAATCCAGGGGGAGAAATAAGAGAAAAAGAACAGGAGGATATTGGTGTGACACTCTGTTCTTTCTAATTCTGTGTTACTATTTTTTTAAACTGTCATGAGTAGAAGAAAACAGAATGAATTACAGATTATTGGAAGTTTATTTCTTTTGAGACAGTAAATGAATGTGAACTAAATGTTAAATAGAACGTGTATATTTTTAGGTCACCTTACTACATATACAAAGAGAGGGAAAGAGAGAGCATGCACAAACGTGCATTTTGGTTTATCTATAAATACTGCATTATTAACATTTGTACTATAATTCAGTGAAAAATCTCACAAACACATGTAAATTCTGTTTAAGAGTTCACTTTATTTGCTAGTTTAAAGAACAAATACAGGTAGTTCTTCACTTATAGCCACAATTGAGGCCAGCATTTCTGCTGCTAAGCAAGGTAGTTGTTAAGTAAGTCCTGTTCTATTTAATGACCTTTTTGCCATGGCAAAAGTTAACATGACTTACAGTTAAGTGAGTCATGTATTTGTTAAGCAAATTTGGCCTTCCTCATTGATTTGCAAACGACAATTCCAGGACCCTGGGTCGCTGCAACCATCATAAATACACGCTCAAGTTTTATTGGGTGTCTGTGGGGATACTGCAACAGTCATAAGTGTGAGAACTGGTCATAAGTCACTTTTTAAGTGCCATTGTAACTTTGGTCATTAAATGAATGGTTGTAAGTCAAGGACTACCTGTAATGTTTTTTAAAGGCAGGGATTGATTGGAAAGGTAAGTTTCAGTTGACACAAAGACTATTCTGATAGCCTCACTTATCTCTGTATTGATAATGATACAGGTGAAAAGCTGCACTCAACTCTTTTGATAAATGATTCATTTTCTGTTATTTTATTGTCTATACTTTCCACTGTGAATTTTTTAATGTGGTGCTCTCGATTTTTATAAATAATGCCTTCAAATGGTGAAATTGAAATGTTTTTATGTATATTGCAGGGAATGAACTATTGAGCCAATTTTTCGTTGCTAGACAAAAAGACAATATTCATTAAATTGTATTCTTCTAATCTTATACATAATTTGAAGGCGTATTTAAGCTATCATTGGTCTTCCCATTAGCCTTGCTTTCTGAAATCTTGTTTTTTAATCATAGTTTATATCCAACATCTGTTCTCTTATTCTGTCTGGGCACTTAAAAAGAGTAAAACCCACTTTAGAAGTAGAATCCAGTTTCCTATGAATTTCAGCTTTTATGATGTTAAAAGATAGAGTTCTTGCATACAAGATTAGACATTCAAGATAAATTGAAAGAGGGGTCACTGTTCGTTAGAATTTTAGAAGTCAAGGGTGACCAGATAAGATTTTTCATTGGCCTGGGAGAGGAATTGTGTGCTCTGTGTGGTCTTCACAGAATCCACAGTGTTGCTTAGTTAAGTTTCTGATTCAATTTCTCTGGTGGAACCTGAGTAGCCTTGAACTCTGAAAATTTAATTACTTTTAATAATGAGTACAAATAGCCCTATTCATATATAAACAATGCCTTCTTATGAATCAGAAGAGTTTTCCTGGGTTTAGTTCTAGAGATAATATTCTAGTATTCTCAAAAGGATTTACTTTCAAATAGAAAGTTAATCTTAATCTTGAGGCAATTACAAAAATTGGAAGATGAGAAGTATTTAGTATCATTCCAGTTATATAATAGTGGGATTAGTACAGAAAGTCCCTGGATGACTTTGGGCTAGTTGTTAGCCTCAAAAGAGTTGTTGTAGAGGGAGTTAAGTTGAAGAACAATACTGTGTATGTTGCTTTGAATTCCAAGAGAAAAATATTGATGTTGATGTAACAAGCAAATATAACATTTAAATCATAACTTTAAATCAGAATGTCAGACTTGGAAAGGACCCTGGAGGTCTTCTACTCCAAACCCCTACTCAAACAAGTAACTTTATATCTCTTCCTAAAAATATCCAGTGTTGGAGCACCCACAACATCTGGAGGCAACTCATTTCACTGATTAATTGTACTGTCACAAAATTTCTCTTTAATTCTAGGTTGCTTCTCTCCTTGATTATTTCCCATCCATTGCTTCTTGTTCTGTCTTCAAGTGCTTAGTTGACTACTTCTTTTTGTGGCAGCCCCTGAGATATTAGAACACTGCTATCATATCACCCATAGTCCTTCTTTTCATTAAACTAAACATATCTAATTTCTGCGACCATTCTTCGTATGTTTTAGCCTGCAATCCCTTAGTCATTTTTGTTGCTTTTCTCTTCACTCTTTCTAGAGTTTCAACAACTTCTTTATATCATGGCAGTCAGGATGCACAATTTTTTTCAAGCCAAAAAAGTTGCTTGCCCCTTCTGTTGTTATCCCAGGATAGCCTGCCAAACAGTGGATAAAGTTGGTACAAAGAAGTACCATATTTTTCACTCCATAAGACACACCTAGGTTTAGAGGAGGAAAACAAGGGGAAAAATATTCCACTCCATTGCACCCACTACCGGTCAGCTGAGCGACAGCTGGATCCCAGTTCCCCTAGCCCTGCCAATTAGCGGGCTGGCCGACCAGAAATGCCACCATTGCTTCCTCCTCCATGTCTGTTGCCTCCACTGGGGAACTCTGGAGTCTTCACCATCGAGCAGCTAATCAGCGGTTGGATCAGCCTCCCAGAATATTGCCGATCAGCTGTTCCAGGTGGCACTGACACTATTCACTTCATAAGATGCACAGACATTTCCACCCACTTTGAGGGGGCATGGGAGTGCGTCTTATGGAACGAAAAACACAGTAAATGACTGAGGACAGGACAACTAAATTTCCACTACTTTAATTATAATTAAATATGTTAATATGATCACATCTCATGTACATAACAGGCAATAATAAGTCTTAGCTTCTGTGCTGTGTTTTTTCCTTCTGGTGGAGTGATGAGATCACTCTTACTTAAAGTCACCATAGTTTGTCATTACTGCACATCTGTATGTATGAAAAGTGCAAATTATTGTTAGTTTAAATTATAGATAGTTGTCACAATCCAGGACAGAGCAAGGAAGTTCTTTGTTATTTTTGGATGAAGTTTTCTTAAAAGCAAAATCTTTGATAATTATGTGAAATTTACCTACTTATGCTATCAGTGTTGACATCAACAAAGCAGCAGGAAACCATAACACTTTTTTAGGAACTGAATTTAGGGGCCATGAAAAATAGCTCTATTGCTGCAGATGATTAGCCTGGTTTAAATTTAACATAATTGATCCTTTGGTAACATAGTAAAGTACATGGGG